TAATTATAAGTAGGAAAAGATCTAAATGAAGAATTCCCAAGTGAAGAATCTCAATTGACAAAAAGACTTTGAGAAATTGCTCAACATCCTTAGTCATTAGGGAATGCAAATCAAATAACTCTAAGATACAATCTTTATATCTGTCATAATAAATAAGAACAAAAACACTGAGGACAGCTTTTGTTGGAGAAGATGTGGAGTAAGTGGTACACTCCTCCATTGCTGGTGGAAGTGCAAACTTGTGCAGTCATTTTGAAATCAATATGGTCATTTATCAGAAAATTGGAAGACAATCTTCTCTCAAGATCCAGCATCATCACTATTGAGTACATACCCAATGTATTCTCAATACCACAAGGATACATGCTGACTATGTTCATAGCAGCAGCATTCATAATATCCAGAAACTTTATATAACCTAAAAGCCCCTCACCACAGTTGAGTGGATACAGAGAGCACAGTAGGAGTGAGCCTGTGCTCAGGTACACCCCAAAAATTGCCTCTGCCTATTCGATAGGGTTTCAGTGGGCAAAGGTTCCTCCCTAACTATTCAATACTTCACAGCTCTCTCTCCAAAAATGCCTGATTTTCCAAGTCTTATGATAACTTCTTTTAAAGTACCAGATTTTTTTTGAAAATCTGCATGTCATTTGAAGTCACCACCATTCAAGTCTCCTCATTGAAAGTTTTACAGTCTTCAGGGAAGCACACTTTGATCACATACAGAAAAGTCATTCTTCATGCCTGCAAGTTCCCTTTCTCTCCTTACAGGAGGCATAAACTCCAGCAGGGGTCCACCTGCCCTGTGTCCTTGTGGTATCCCATTGTTGACTATTTACCAACTTTGGGCTAAACCCAGTTTTGTGGTTTCCTCAAGGGTCTGTCACTTTAAAGACTTGTATTTTCAGTTTCTCTCCTGAAATATTTTGTACTCTTCCATTGTTTTATGGGCATTTGGGCTCAAAGGTATTTTTGTGCATATTTCTAAGTTAGTTTCTGATGCTGTCCGTCTTGTATTTCTTTTGGGTCATAAGAAGTGAGGCAAAGCAGAACTCAGGATCAGCCATTCACACCTTACTGCTATAATGACATGTTCACTAGGCTGAATAGATGGCTCAGCAGCTGAGAACACTGGTTGCTTATCCACAGGGCCTTGTTTCCCAGAACCCACAGAACAGGTCACAGTTCGCTTTAACTTCAGTTAAAGGGGTTCAGATAACCTCTTATGGCCCCCACTTTTGCACTTGGTATATACAATAACAAAGTCAAGTCATCAGACAGCAGTAAGAAAGTTTCTCTGTACTGAGAGAATATGGTTTTCATTGGAGTTCTGAGAAAATGTTACGAACAAGTGTTTAGTCATAAGGATAACCCATTCTACAAAAAAGGGAAAAACCAAAGAAGAGATAGCAGTTTAACATTTTCAATTGAAAATAAGTTTTATGATTTAAGTTGTTGTTTTTCCTTGGTCTTTCAATGAAAACATGTCTACAACCTGAAAAAAAGGCAACATTTTCCTGGTAAAATGTTTCAATTAATCAGGGTGCTGACTTAGTGGGAAATGTGTGTGGTGTGCTAGTCTGGTAACCTAATCTTGATCATCATATGAAGAGAGTCAAGAGTCCACCCCAAAAAGTTGTCTTATGGTCTTCACTTATCTTTTAGGCCTAAAATTTGATAATCATATCACACATATATACAACAGAATCTTTTTCAAATAAATCTCATTGATGTTACATACCTGGCATGTCTGGATAATTCCCTTAGAAGGAAGCACTTCATGACGAAGTGACAAAGGATAACTAATGGGGACAGGGAGATGCAACTTCAAATAATGTATAAATATCCACAGGACTTCAAGTTATACTGTGAAATATTCAGTTGATTAATGATTATTCCACATTTTACACCTCTACCAGTTTGATGAAAATGGTGCTGTGGACACACATATAAGGTAATGTTTCTTATACTATATTCTATTATGCATTTTAATATTAATTTTGATAAAATATGTAGACAAAACAGCAAATGTTGAATGTAACATGTCCTCTCGGACTTATATTCAAGAGATTGACCCATGATGATTATGAATTCAGATGTATTAATAACTAATTAGTGACACACAAGCTAGACTGGATAGCAAATGACATCTCAAGGGAATTTGTGAAAATATGAAAAACTAATCCAGGAAAAAAATTTCAAAACCCTTTCAGAGACACCATTACTTAAGAGGAATGAATATACACTACTGAATATTAAAATAGATGTTTCACTTAGATGATGGACATCTCATTCTATATATTTCAGCAGAAAAATACCTATCACTAAGTGAAAGCACAGTAGGAGATGTACAAAAGTCACAGAAAGAATACAAAGAGCACAAAATAAACATCATTGAAAGAATTTGCTAAATGTATAGAGCACTTTAATATTGCTCACTGATCAGTAAACACAATGGAGAAATGTTCACCACCACACTTGATTGAAGATAGTAAATGATTAACCTTCTTCATGATGAAAAAGATATGAAACAAGAATTTCTGAACAATAACAAACACTGTGATGTCTAAAGTCTTTACCATATCATTTACATGAAGAAAGTTTTTCTCTTGCAGGAGTTCTTCCCTGTTATCTGAGGTTAAGATGATTTTAAAAAAAAGTCTTTAAAATATTTACAGGGCTACACACAGGGACAAGCAGCTAAGACAAGTTCATTGTCAGGATGAAGGTTGGGATTTTGAGAACTTCCTGTGGTCCTGCAACAAGAAAACCCAAGGGTCTAACCTTCCTGGGAGCAAGCATGAATATTCATATAACCACACAAAGGCACACTAAAATAGCATAGTTAAAATTAAATAAAATCTTTAACTAAACAATTTTTCACTCATGAATATTTCTCTCCTGTAAGCATTCATTCCTGTAAGCCAGGTGTTGAGGCATTTAAAGTCTTGCTTCCAGAGTTTTTCTCAATCGTAATTTGGATCATTCAATAGAAAGCAAGAATATAGACCTGAAATTACAGAAATTAATCATTTTCAATTAGTGTCATCATTTGGGAAAATTTAGAAAATATTGTCACCCTGAAAGGATTATGTCACGGGTTTGTTCCTGAGAGTATACATTCACACACCAGTTCAAGTTCCTGGTTCATGCTGCAGGCTGAGGATGTGAGTTCTTAGCTTCCCAAGGTAGCTGTCATGTCTGACACTTCTTGTGACAACACTGTCAAGGTGATCATGTAACCGTCTGGAACCCAGAGTCACCTTAAACTCTTTAATTAATAAACTTAGCCATTAAGTTTTATCACAGGCAAAGAAGAGGCACTCATACTCATCTACACAATTTTACATCTGGATAAGTGATAGGGGAATCTTTGCTAACCAATCATCTTTAAGAAAGGGAACCTAGTTAAGGTGTGGCTTCCTGAAACCCAGGAGAAAAACTGGAATGGACCAGGTGATTGCTCTCTGGGTGATTCCTGTGGTATGCAGCAGAACTTGGATTTTCCATTCATGTGGGGTGAGTTTCCCCGTATAATAAGTAAAAATATATTCCTTTTTCTTTAAGCTAGCCTGGTTATTTCCTGGATCAAGCAAACTTCTACAGGTAAGTATATTTATATAATTGAAGAAAAGTGCAAAATCAAAAAGGATAACCTTATCAAAGTCCTGAATTCTCAGGACTTTGTCCATATAATTTTGCAGGTGCAAACAAAATAGAGACGTCATAATGCTTGAACAGATTTGACACTTGTAGACTTCTTTTCTTCCCATGCTTATGTAAGTAAATGTGTGTTGTCTGAAGATATTTCCAAAACATTTATAGTCACATTACCTTCAGTATGAATCTTCTCAAGTCCTCAGATTACTGTATTATGCAAAGGCCTTAATAGACCTCTTATCCAGTATAAGTTTACTCTTGTATAAAGACTACCAAGAAGAGGAAAACTTTACCACACTGATTGCACCTAAAGGGTTTGACAGGCTGGAATGTGGTGGCAACCCATTTAATCCAGCTTTTGGGAGAAATAGACAGACAAATCTCTGTGAGTTAAAGGCCAGCCTCGACTATGAGTGAGTTCCAGGACAGACTCCAATGCTACAGAGAAACCTTGTCTCGAAATACTAAAAAAGAAAAAAAAAAAAGAGTTTCTTTGCAGTATGATTTTTTTCTCAAGATTTTAAAGCCTGATGACACATACAAAGGCTCTGCCACATTGGCTAAAATTGTATGGTTTCTATTCAGCATGTGTTCTTTGGTGGATGTGTACACTTCTACGACATGCAAAGGCTTTGCCACATTGATTACATTCATAGGGTTTCTCTCCAGTATGTGTTCTTTTATGTGTTTTTAGACTACTGATTTGTGAAAATGATTTACCACATTGATTACATTCATATGGTTTCTCTCCAGTATGTGTTCTTTGATGGATGTGTACACTTTTACGACATGCAAAGGCTTTGCCACATTGATTACATTCATAGGGTTTCTCTCCAGTATGTGTTTTTTTGTGTGTTTTTAGATGACTGATTTGTGAAAAGGCTTTATCACATTGATTACATTCAAAGGGTTTCTCTCCAGTATGTGTTCTATTATGTCTGTGAAGGTGACTATGACACGCAAAAGCTTTATCACATTGGTTACATTTATAAGGTTTCTCTCCAGTATGTATCCTTTGATGTATTCGAACTTTACTCTTCTGTGAAAAGGCTTTGCCACATTGATTACATGTGTAGGGTTTCTCTCCAGTATGTGTCCTTTGATGTAATCGAAGACTACTGTTCTGTGAAAAGGCTTTACCACATTGATTACACTGATAAGGTTTCTCTCCAGTATGTGTCCTTTGATGTTCTCGAATTTTACTCTTCCGTGAAAAGGCTTTACCACATTGATTGCATGTGTAGGGTTTCTCTCCAGTATGTGTTCTTTTATATATTTTGAGATTATGTTGACATGCAAATACTTTACCACATTCAGTACATTCATAGGGTTTCTCTTTAGTATGTGTTCTTTCATGTATTTTGTGTTTAGAGAATTTTGAAAAAGCTTTATCACAATGATTACATTCATTGCTTTTCTCTCCAGTATGTGGTATTTTGTGAATTTGGAGACTTTTGACATATGAACAGTCTTTACCACATTGATTACATCCATAGGAATTCTCTCCAGCTTGTGTTCTTTTATGTAATTGGAGATAACTGGTACCTGAAAAGGCTTCATAATATTGAATAACATCATATGGCTTTTCTGCAGAATGAATTTGTTCACGCCTTTGAAGATGATTGTAACATGCAAAGGGTTTAACATGCTGAGTATATTCAGAGGGTTTCTCTCCATTATGGGTTTTTTCATCCCTGCAGAGACAATTGGCACATGTAAAAGTTTTACCATGTACATTACAGTGATGAATCTTAATATCTGTCTGAATTAATTTTATAATTTTATTTAATTGTAAAGAGGAATCAGATTTTAAGTTTTACAGTCATGGTGCTCTCTTTTAGTATGGGATGTTTTGTGTCTTTGAATAACCTTTGATGGTAAGGGTCTTTTTTAAATGACCCACATTTATAGCATCATTTTTTATGAGATTTTTTTTACATATTTGAAAGGAACTAGACTAACTCAGTTTAAATAACCTTATATTCCTTTTGGCATTCTTATGTTTTCCTGCAGTGCAATATCTACCACAAGAAAGTCTACAAGGACAAATAAAAGTAAGTACACAGTCCCACACTCATAGGGCTTTACTTCAGTGTGAGTTTGCTGATGTCTCCCCAAGGAAGTTTGAAAACCAATTAAATATAACCTTATAGCACATTCAACAAATCTACCCAGTGTTGAAATACTAAGTATCTTTCATATCTTCTCATTATTCTGAAAGAGATATATATAGTCTTTCTTTCCATTTTGGAAAGCTCACTTGTGACATATGACATTCTTATTAAAGGAAGAAGAAATTAATGGTTGTCCATTAAATCCACACAGTTTGAATTTCTGTCCCTCATAGACATGTGGTGTAGGAATTAAGATTTCTCCACAAGAGCCTTTTGACTCTCATAAACTAACTCCTTCAATACGTTTGGCAAAGTCACAAGTACATGAATAACACTGGCTTTACTACAGAGTATTTATTTTTTTGGCAATTTAAAACATATTTACTATCTATTCAATGTTTAAATGTATGTTCCTTGTGCAATATCCTTCTCTTCTGTTTTTAGAGGAATGTCTTGGAAACACAGACCAGTTACCTCATATTGAGGCATATAATTTTATTAGAAATTAATAATCATAAATATACTTTTAGCGGTGCATATTTATACTATTTTGTAAATCTTCCAGGACAAATTAAAATTTCCTCAGAGACAAATATATACCAAAATCCAAATAAAATTTACCTTTCACGTTTTCTAGCATTTTGACAATGTTCTTCAAAATTATGGTCTTCCCAAGTGTACCCTAAAAAAATAGTAACAGAAAGTAGATAATGTATTAATGGATACTGTACAAAATTGAATATCTTAAGTGAACTATGCCTTAGTTATTTGGCTCATTCTTACTCTTGATAAAACAAAAATATACAAAAGAATCAATAAATAATACATAGTTGTCACCTTATTTTAAAACATGAAGGAAAGTTCCCAATCTTACCAATAGCAGTGAGGTTCCTGTATGTCTCCAGCATCACAACTTTGTAGAGACTCTTTTGGGAAGGATTCAGCAAAACCCACTCATCCTGAGTGAAGTCAATGTGCACATCCTCATAGGTCACTGAATTCTAGAAGAATCCAACCAACAGTAAAGCAAAATGTGATCCTGACATTGGACATATTTGGATAATGCTGCTGCTTCCCACTCTTCTTCCATGATATTACATTATAATATAATCACCAGTCACTTTTGAAGGAACCTGAAGAAGAGGTTCATATGTGCCATTCCTTGGCCCTTTAAATAGGATACATCCTTGAGAAAGAAATGCCAATGAACAGACATACAGAGACAGAGAAGCAAGCAGATCAACACTACTGAGAAAACATTACAGAAATGGTAAGAACAGTGATTATTTAGAAAAATGATGGCAGTTTGGGTATATTCACTTGTGACTTTATACCCAGTGATCAATGTAAAAGCAGATGAAATAAATTGAGTTGGATATCAGTCAAAACCTATGCAATGAGTTACAGTAAGTCAGAGTTACAAATTAATAAAACCCAGTAACTATCCATAATCATTTAAATTAAAAAAACATAAAAAGAAATCAGAGGTTTTAATGAAGTTCTTACAAAAAGCTTTGTATTTACTTTAGTTCTACATTTATCTTCGAGAACCTGCAGTGGCCCAGTTTAAACTCATCTGTTTAATGAGTTTGCTGTCCTTGCAGATACGAGGGCACAATTGCCAGTACTAAAAGGGGGCTTGTAATGATCCTTTACTTCAACTTCATTGGTTCTGATGCCTCTTGTGACAACCATGAGAAACAGGCATGCATGTGGTACATACCCTTGTATATAGATACAACCTCATATTCATTGAAAGCATTCAAAACAAAAAAATTAGAGGCAGTGAGAAAGTCAGCCACCTGCAGTACAATGATTTAGAAGGCAGAGGTATTAATGTCATGGATACTACTCTCCTGGGAAAGAGAATGATACCTTCCACCAAACTTCAAATTTCAAGATGTAGGTGAAGTTCAGCGTAGAGGTTTATCCTTGACATGTACAAAAATCTACATTCCAGGCTCATCAGACAATAAAATAATACACACACACACACACACACACACACACACACACACA